AAATTATTTATAAAAACAACATTTTGCCCTAGGAGCCAAGTGAGATGGCGTCTTCTCTCACTTTTAAAGTGCATGCGCCATCTCAATTAGCTAAAAGAGAGAGGAGACGCTAAGTGAGATGACGCCTAGGGCAAAAAGCTTGGTGGAGGCGCCAAGTGAGATGACTCCTCATTTGGAGAGTCATCTGAAACATAGTTATTTGCGTAATTTTTTCCGAAACGTGATTATTTGCGGAAAAAAATTTAACACCTGATTATTCAAAAAAAAATTCAAAGATCTATATATAATAATATTATATTTCTTAGGTCAATAGATATAATTTTAATAAAAAAAATATCATTCTAAATTAAAGAGATAACGATAGAATTTATTACTAATTTTCTTTCTGATTCTATTTAAACTTTATTATAAGAATATATGAATATTGGGTCATTTGTTAAAAATAAATTTTTTGATATTAAAATATTATCATTGTTAAAAATAATTATGAAGTAAGTTTTTTTCTTTTATAGAATTATGAAGTAAGCTAAATTTAGCTGTAAGTAATTAATTCTTAACATTCAAATAAAAAGAAGAAAAAGTTGAGAATATAGTAGGCAACGGCATATCCACAAGCATAATCACTTATGCCGTTAGCATATTTTTCTTCATTTTTGACAAAAATGCCATTGACGTAGTATATTATAAGGTCATGTTATGTGTACGCTAAATACACATATTAAAAATATTATAATTAAAAAAATTTAAATATAATTAAACATAATAAAATTATATTTAAAATTTTAAAATATTAAAATACACACATTTTAAGAAAATATTTCTAATATTAATTTTATGTTAGGACATGTGTTAGTTTTTTTTTCTATATTATAATTTATAAGCAGTCCTTCTTTACCTTCTAGAATGATATGGTGTGTTCTGTGGATATCCGCTGTTGAACTTTGAATAAAGCGTGCTCGTTTCGTTTTCATTTTCTTCTTTTTCTTTTGTTGATGTTGAATTGCTCATTTTCTTCCTTTGAAAATTGACTCTTTTTTTTTTTGGACAAAATTAAAAGTTGACATTTGACAGACACCATTGATCACGTCTAACTTATTCAAATACTAAATTTTCGTCCCATCTGACGGTCGAAGTTTTATGTAAGACAGTTAAAGCTTGTTTGACCATATTAAGAAAATAATAAATTGGACTACTTTTCATAATTTTGTATTGGTAATTTTCTTTAACATGTATCACATAACATATCACTATGTTGATTTATAACATAAATGAATTGGTCTATCAATGACATATTGCAACTCATCGTCAAGTCGTTTCTGTTGAAATCTTAAATACAAATGTTATAATACATTATAAGAATTATGGACAATTAAAATGAAAATTTTATTGAAATAGTTTTCAAATTAAAAAAAAAAACAAGTTAATTGTTTATAATACCTTATTTAGGAGTAGTTTTTATTTCCTTTTATAACACGTGTTGAATTTCTACTTGCTTCGCATTAGGTTTTACTGATTTTATTGTCCAATTTATTTTCTTTTTACGTACCACTTTTGTTTTTTATGTTGTATCGCTCTCTTAGTGCCAGTATATGATTTTTGGATCAAATTTATATGTCTTTCAATTTTTTTATAGTTTTTTCTTATTTATTATATTTTCTTTGGATTAAAAAAATTCAAAACGAGATGACAGAACTCAAACTTAATATCTCACTTATGTAATTAATTATAAATTAAAAAATATATTCCTTAAATTTATTTTATACATTAATTACAATATTAGTTTTTTTTAATTAAATTTTTTAATTAGAAAAAAATGACTAAGACTCATTGAATGACCATAATAAATATCAAAATTAAAAAAGAAATATATGTACTAAGTCCGAAAATGAAAATGTACTCAAATATATATATGAGTGACAAAATGGTTTGTAGTCTCTCAAGCAGTTTTATATATAAAAAAAAGTAGATTAACGTAGGATTTTGGATTCGCTTCCCAATAAAGATCTCCTTTAAAAACGGCCGCTTATTAAAGTTCATTCCACAAAATCTGTTGTTCGCTAAAATCTATCATATCTATTCGTTCAACTTGTTCCATCTTAAATCTGTTATTTTTTAATTAATTCTAGTATGTTATTTTTTTATGGTTTTATTTTATATATTTGTGAATATATGTAATATTTTTTTAAGTAAATTTTGTTAAGAAGATGCGTTATAAAAATTGTTTTAAAAAATAAATGAAAAATTTAATTAAAATGTAAAATAATTTTTTTTCATATATTAAAATAATAAAAAAGTAAACGAATAAATCTGACATCTGCTAATCCGTCACTTTAATGGAACGAGATAAATTTTTTATGTATATTTTTATTTGATAGACTTGTTCATCTTTTTTTTTTTATAACGTGTTTAAGACGGGAAGAGATAGAATGAAATAAGTAGCTCATTTATTCACTCCTAAATATATATATATGATATTAATTTGCTGAAATGGTTGAATTAGAATCTTTGTGCAAATTAATTTTTATTTAATTATGAAAAAATAATTACAAATTCTATTTAAATAAGATTTAATTGTGATGACTAATTTATAAAATTTTATTTAATCATTTTTTAGTTGTATAAATTTTGACACATGTATAATAATTTGTCTTGTACTCATTCGTTGTCAACCCTATAATTTTTATATTTTTATATAAATTTTTGGTATTTATTAAATTATCTTAATGATAACTATTTCAATGAGTATTTAAAATTAAAATTAGAAGAATTCTTTTATTTAAAAAAAATTCAATACAAAATTATACATGCTTAGATTGACTTTTTTAAAGATGTAGAATTAATTTTGAATGATTTAAAATTTTTTTCATCAAGAATATAATTGATTTAGTTTTGAGAATTGATTTTATTTAAAATTAAATTTTAAATAAATTTTATATTAAAATTTATTATTCAATTCACTTTTACATAAATATATTTAATTATAAATTAATTATATTAAATTTAATTATATTAAAATTAATTAAATCAAACGTAATTTTATTAGAATCAATTACAATTCAAACATATTTAAATAATATAAAATATTAATTTATTTTGTTAAGAGAAAGGGAGGGGGTCGGTGACATATGAAATATGGTCCCCAAATAAATACAGTAAATGACGGTACTACCTTCTATGGTCGTACTAAAATGGGGACCACGATAAATTATTATTAATGGTAATTTAATTTGATAAGGGCATCGACATATAGTGTGGATTTGGAATTGGTTGCATGCGATTATTTTTTTTATCTATTGTTTTCTTTCCCGTCAAGTCTCTCCTCTCCACTGACATCACTGCCTACGCTTCCACATTCAGACACGTACGTACCTTCTCAATAAAACACAATCACTAATCTATTTTCTTTCTCTTTATTTACTCTATTTTCTTTCTTTCAAAATATAAAAGAGATTAAATATTTTTTAAGATCATTAATTTAAATAATTATTAAAAGTCATTTTTATGTAGTGATGTTTATTTATTAATAATATTTAATTAAATAATTAGTTGAGTTGAACTATATTTCATCATCTCACAATATTGTTTATTTACAATACCAATTTATTATTTTATTTTATTTTTCATATATTTATTTTTATTTATTATATTTTAATTAATGTAATTATTCTATTATTGTTAATAAAATTATTTTAATAAATGAAATTCGTTTTATTATTGAAATCAATTCGGTCAAATAATTTAAAATTATCGACTCAATTTGAATGTCGAAGCTAGAGCTTCATTGCTCAATCTAACTAACAAATAAATCTTCTCTAAGGGGCCGTACACTAGAGTCATGCATTACACTCATTTTAGTCGTTGGAGTTAATTAAACTATCTCCCGTATTTAACATTGTGTTCATTAAGGATTGTTCCAATCATCATCCATATAAGTGAAGATTCACGTCACACCAAAGTATGATTTATTATACTCTCGCAAAGTTACACATATATGATCTTATTGACTTAAGTGTTAAAGTGCAAACTTTGTAGGTATATCCCTTTCAATTTACTAAGGACTCCCACCGTCGTGTTAAAGTATTAGAGTTTAGCATAATTCATCCTTATAAAACTGACTTGTAGGTGAGGAATGTCACTATATATAAAAAAAAATTGAAGTTATATGTCTAACCAATGTGGAACTTGGAATCTTTTCAATACACCCCAGACCTAACCACTCTTTTTGGACTTGATGTGTGGATATAAACAATGGGCAACCCATGGTCCGATCGATAGGATATAATACCATATTAGAGTTTGACCTAACTCATTCTTACAAAACCGGTTTGTAATATAAGGATTGTCACTCTTTAAACTCTTTTCAAGCTATGTGTCTGACCAATTTGGAACTTCTGATCTTTCCAATACAGAGACCTTCCATGACGGACTTCTTCCACACATCACCAATTTCCTATTTTACATCAAAATAATGGCTCGGTCTGTGGAAATTTGCTTCATGATTCTCTTTTTATGATTCAAAGATAGCAAAACAGGTGGACGGTATCTCCAATTAATTGTTTACATTGGTAATAAAGGTCATAATAGCCAACTGCAAAGTATCTCTAATATTAATTGGAATGGAAATTTCATGTGACATCAATCTATACGAGAAGTTAGGATTGGAAATGAAAAGATTATCACCCTACACAAGCACCTGTCTACAAGAGTTTAATGAATCAATAACACACCCTCGACGCAGTGTAAAGATGATGGTTACTCTTAGACAAGGAAAATATGTGAGGAAGATGGAGAAACATTTCCTGGAGATACTTGCAAAAGTATCATAACATTCTTGACGAACCAGTAACCTTCCACGTGGACCTAACAAGAGTTTGTCAAATACATGAAGCAATACTCAAATACCCAACAACAACAATCCTCTAGCATAATGAGAAGATGAAAAGAGTGTTAAGGATGGAAAACACGGCCTCTCGATGGAAGTTATGATAAAGATTCCAATACTAATCATAGACGGTGAATTCATAGTCTTCTAACTCGACAAAAATCCATCTCGCACGGTAAGGATAACAACTAACCTCCCTGGCTCTATAGAAATAAGCATCATCAAGTGTTTCAAGTCCAACACCGATATCTTTGGTGTCTCCCTGGATGAAATGAATGACATTGATCCTGGAATAGCCTTTCATCAATTGACCATTAATCCCTCTTCCTAGTATGTGACCCGTGGGAGAAGGCGTATCGCTAAAAAAGATCAAAGCTTCAAGAAACATCGATAAGTTGGTAGACATTTTTGTTAGATACAAGCAGATATTGTTCATGGATGCCTATTTTGGATACAATTAGATTCACATGCACGAAGAAGATAGGGACTATACTTTCTTCACAAAAAAGAACACTAATTATAGATATAACATGATTCCCTTTGGACTAAAAAATGAAGTTAAGACGTAACAAAGAATGATGAGCAATGTTTTTGAAGAAGAGATAAGTGAGATGTTTGAGGTATATGTGGATAACATGATCGTCAAATCCATAGAAGAGCATCTACACGGAGGCTTTCTCATTAGTGTGTTCAATAATGTCCAGCAATACAACATAAAACTTAATCCAAGAAGTGCACCTTCGGCGTCAAAGCTGGAAAATTCTTAGGATTATAATTGTTTGAAAGATCCATCAAAGCCAACATCTATAAATGTGACTCAATCATCAAGATGAAACCTAAATAATAAAGGAAAAAATTATGAATTTAAATTGAATGATAATCACTCCCGACATGTTTATTTTGAGGTCATCCCAACATGCGCTTATATTATACATACTACTAAGAAAAGAGGTGTAGTTCGATTAGACCCCAAAAAGCGAGAAAGCATTTTCAACCCTTTACATAACTTAGGTCTTCTCCGAATCCAAAATTGGAGAGACCTTGGTCCTCTATCTAGTTGTATATAATAAGGCAATAAGTGTAACTCTTGTGAAAGAGGTGGGCGACATTTAGAACCAATTTATTTTATATTAAAGGCCTTTGAAGGTTCAGAGACATGCTACCATAAAATTGAGAAAATCACTTGATCTTAGTGAAGTCATCAAGTAAACTGTGACATTACTTTTTGGAACATACGATACTAGTATGAACACCCACCTTTAAAACAGGTCCTTCACAACCCTGACTTTGAAGAACGGATGATTAAATGGTAGACGAGATATTTGAGTTAGAGATCTCCTTTGAAACCTAAGAAGACTCTTAAATCTCAAGTATTAGCAAACTTCTTGGTGAAAGACACTAGCAACATCAAAACCATGCATAAAGTGGATTCTCTTCATAGAGGGGTAGTCAAAATTAGGTTAGGACCTAGGAAAACACAAGCACCTGGTGTGAATCTTCTATCATCTGGGTAGGCATGTCATTAGCAGTAGCCATGTTAACCTTTGCAAGTAAATCAATAATATACTTGGTTTGTGAGAGAATAAGAGATCCATTTGGCATAATAGTGACCTCAATCCCAAGAAAGTAGTCTAGTTACCCTAGGTCCTTGAGATCAAACTGAATATTGAGACTATTGACTAGGCTGGCAATAAAGGATGGTGAATTTCCAGCAATGATTATATCATCCACATAAACCAGAATCGGAATAGTTAAACTGTCACTCTGGAAGAAAAATAGACTGGGATCACATTTACTTACCTTGAACCCATGTTGCACCAGAGAACTCTTAAGTCTGTCAAACCAGGCCCATGTGTACAAATATATTTTAGGGTTAAATATGTTTGTGGTCCTTATAAATATTTCAATTTTCGATTTTAATTTCTCTAAAATTTTCTTTTAAATAATGGTTCTCAAAAAGTTTTTCATCCATAATTTTGGTCTCTACCGTCAATTTTCATTAAAGAGATTACGGAGAGGAACTGGATCTCCGATTGACACCAACGCTTCGCTGATGTCACGAACTCAGCAATGGAACGTGAACCTTTCTTCAGGTTGCGAAGATCAGATCGCAACTATCGCGCCTTGGTGGTGAGCAGAGTGTTGAAGTAACGGTGAATTTTCGACCATACTTGCCACGAAGACGTGCAGTCGACGAGTTTCAGAAGAAGAGAATCGGAAATCGTGGAGAGTAGTAGCCAGGTGCAGATAAGTGCATCATGTTGTTCCCATTCAATATAACCTGGATTTGCACCGCCGATAACTGGATCCACGTCGGGAAGAAGATGTGGTGGAACGCACGACACGGTAACGAATCGTTGAAGACGATGACCACGAATAAAGCCTTCGATTTGCTGTTTCCACTGTTTGAAATTCTTCTCATCTAATTTGATGGAGATGAGATGTGAGAGTTTCACATGAGATGAAGGAAAAACACCTTCAGTGATGAAAGACGGTGTCATGGAAGCGCTTAGATCGAGAAAATAATTCAAGATACCATGTTAAAAATGTAAGAAAGGAGAGATGAAGAGATTCTATTATCGTATTTCATCGCATTATTTTGTTAACAGTACAAAGGATCTCTATATATAAGAGAGAGATGAGACTAGGTTATAACAAACCCTATACCAGCTGTACAAAGTAATTACTAGAAAAATAAGCCCTATAACATATAATAGCTCTCCCGAGAGTTTCCTTTCATCAATGATTTTCTCCAGAAAATTATCCTTGAAGGATGTCCACTTTTGCAATACTTCTTTCTCCTATCTAAGGTTATTTGGGGCCAAGAATTCTCCTTTACCAAATGCACAGATGGACAAGACTTCGATAACTTAATACTGCTTTCAGACGAATTGACTGTCAAGCGAGCAAAATAGGTGGAGACGCCCATGCAGTGGTAGGAGCAAATTTAAGTTTTCAAGTTCCATTGGTCAATTGAGCAGTATTGTTGGCTAATCAGTAGAACCAAGATGGTATGGGATTGGTATTGTTTTTTAATTAGTTACTGAGTGCCTATTTCTCTTTGCAAGAGGCATTGTATTTTGATTGGTAAAGTGGGTGGTGGCTTTATGTGTATGTGGGTTTGTTAAAAATTGCCTCTCAACTTAAACAAACATTAGAGTGCACTACTTTATTCTAGAAGAAAAAAATGCCATTGTATTTTTTAAATACATGAAATGAATTTAACCCTCTTCTCGTACAAGATTACACTTATCATATAAATTCAATTATTTATTCCTCTGTTTCCTTAAAAGGATTCACCCTCGTTACTTGAAAAAACAAATTCACACATAAAATGAACAAATTCATAATATTATTAAAAGAACTAAACATTCAAAACTATGGGTACCGTAGTAGTATTATACAAAAACCAGATCTACAGACTCAAACTCTATTTTATTGTAAAACAGAAAAAAGAGTTTGATTCCTAATAGAACTATCTACCTTCTAAATTTATTTCTCCTTTTCACTAAACTCATCTAAAAAAACAAAAAAAAAACTACTCGCATCGCATCATCGGAATCTACACGAACGTGCTCTGTTTCCTCTGCCTCCGGTAGCCACACTTTCTACAACTCATATCTCGTTTTTCAATTCTGGTTAGTTGTTTCTCCTCCACTCACTATCCAAGGGTGTCCTGAAAAAAATCACAAAAAAAAAATTAAATTAATAATCATAATCAACAATTCAAAACTGTAAAGGGAAAAATTAATAATGATTAGAAGACATACTCAAAGCTTGTTCTGCAGAAAATCTTCTAGAAGCATCTCTACAAATCATTTTTCTCAACAGATCCTTAGCAGAAGATGAAACGGAACGGAAGATTCTAGACGGAAACCTCAGATTCGCTCTAATAACCGCCTCAAAAATTTCAGTTGCAGAATCTCCGTAAAAAGGAGGAATCCCGCTCAACATTATGTAGAGTATCACACCAACGCTCCACACATCAACTTTCTCTGTATAATCTCTTCCCAAAAGAACCTCCGGTGCCACGTAATACGGCGTTCCGACAACACCGCTCATGGTTCTGCCGTCGCCGAACCATTCCGCCGAACCGAAATCGGCTAATTTCAGATTATCGTTAGAATCAAAGAGAATGTTATCCGGCTTGATGTCGCGGTGTGCGACACCGAGACGGTGGCAGTGAACAACGGCTTCCAAAAGCTTCTTAATCAGAGACGCGGCTTGTTGTTCGGTGACAGGATTCGAAACGATGCGATCGAGGAGAGTGAGAGGCTGACAAAGCTCTAAGACGATGGATAAGAACTCGTCGTTTTCGAAAACGTCGAAGATTTGAAGGATATTAGGGTGAGGCGAAAGAAGAGAGAGAAATTTAGGCTCGTTCTCGAGACACTCACGATCGGTGGAATCGGAGAGGAGAGATTTGTCGATGACTTTGCAGGCGTGAGGTACGGCGGAGCTAGGGTGGAAGCACCGGTAGATGGTGCCAAAACGCCCACGTCCGATCTCGTCGCTGAGTTGGTAGTTGGTTTTTAGGGTTTCGCACATTTCAGCACTTTTCTTTTGATTTTGATTTTGGAGTTATGAGTTAATAGAAGTTATGGCTACTATTATTTATAGAGAAAAAGGAAAAATATAAGTGTGAAGAGTGTGAGAGGGTGAAAGTGGAATGTACTTTGGCATATTAGAGAAAGAGAATATTCTTTCGGTGGATACTACTACCATTCAAAAGTGCCACGTTAGCAATAACTGACGGAAACAAAATAAAACCAACTGTATTGTTAGTTTCCGTAACGGAAGCGTCCTTTTTTAATTTCATTCAGTAAAATAGGGGTTTGCCGTTAACCTTTGTTTTTGCTAATGAGAAAAAACAGAAAATACTTGACCAAAGAAAGCTAGCAAAATATTAGGAATAACAAACTTCTTCCTGGTAAATATCAACTTGGTTGATTTTAATGGTTTACAAGTTAACATATAATTATAGTAAGCTAGTAACAAATAAAGGAATACGATTATTATATCAATTACTTTAAACTAAATTATTTCTATAAAATTAAATATGTCCTTTTATGTATACAAATTATTTTATATAATAATTTTATTTTTTTAAATATTAAAAAAAGTATGAGCTATTTCATTTTGTACTTGTTGACCATCATGAAAATCTTTTTTTTTTTATAAATATTGACCAAAATTATATTCATGTGAACATACTTAAACTCTTATTTTTCAAAACAAAAAAAAAAACAATAATAAACATATGAAAATGTTCTAGAAGTGGTTTTATATTTTATGACTTTTAAAATTATAACATACTTAAACTCTTATTTTTCTATCAACTATAAGAAACTATAATAGAACATTCCTAACACTTTTTAAATTAATTAAAAACTTAATATATTTTAGGACTTCAATATTTTTGTATTGATATCGAGAAAAACTTTTATAATGTTAGTCAATTACAATCACTTATAAAAAGTTTAAATACAAATATCGCACTTTAATCCTAATTAAAATAATATTTCAAAAGCAGTTTTGAAACTATGATTAACTCACATTGTGAAATATATCTACTATCAATATACATGAATTAAATTCATATTTTAATAGTGTTCTGGACTGGGCCCGACAGGCCCAAAAGCATTACTAAGGCCCAGTCCAAAGGGACTCACTAAGGACCACACTGGGCAAAAGGGGTCGCATCCATGCCCGACACCCTGATGTCCACCTCGACATCCCGGTGTCAAATCCATGCGGTGAAGTCGTGCTCGACACCCTGCCGTCAGCTGCATGTCTTGGCGTCCAGCTCGACACCCGCCGCCCAGCTCGAGGTCCTGGCGTCGAGCTCAGCACCGTGCTGCCCAGCTCGACATGGCCCCGAGCTACCCGGCTAGGGCAGACTCAGTCCACCGTTCCCCCAACGATATTCCGGAAAGACCGCGTCTCTGTCCGCCCGCACTTCACGCAGCACATCCAGGAAGGGGACCACGTGCTGGTCCCCACTACCCACGTAGAACCTGGCAGTTCCTCCATTGGGCCAAATCCGCCCGGCCCAATGAAGGAACCTTGGCCCAGCGCTGGGGGCGATAAATACCCTCTGTTTCCAGAGGGTCAGGTATTCATCATTCTAACCTCAACTCTATTATCTGCTCGTACTCCCACTGACTTTAGCATCGGAGTGCCTTGCAGGTACCCCCCCCCCCTCCTCGTTCAAAAAGCCTTCAGCTCGGAGTAAGCCGTGACGGTCCAAACCTTCTGATCAGGTCAGATCAGTGGCGCCGTCTGTGGGAAACAGCTTCCCCGTCTAACGAACAATTCCAAAGACCAAAGCTCAATCCATTCACTGTCATGGCTGATCCAGCTCGTGAAGAACAGCACACCCGCGTCCTCGACACCAACAACGGTCCCGCAGACAAGAATGGGCACCTGGACAATCCCAGTGATGCCGGCCACAATGCCGTCCCCGTGACAACCGCCCCTGGACCTTCCACCCGCAGGGACGGGAACACTGCGTCCTCCTCGACAACTCCTCCAAGACTCGAAGACGACCCGGAAGCCCTCGCCTACCGCAGAGCTTCCCGGTTCCATGAAGTCCCAGTTCCTCCCGGGGCAGATGCCACGACTCAGGCACTGTTCGCGGCCATCAACCAAACAAATTATCTCCTATTTGCCCAAGGAGAAAGACTAAGGGCACTTGAAAATGATCGGCGCCCCCCGAGGAGACATCAAAGGCCACCATCTCCACCTCCTCGGGTCGAAGAAGTTCGACACCCTACTCCCCCGCGGAGACATTACAGGGAGAACTCTAGGAGCCCCTCTCCCCCACCAAGGCAGAGGCGCCCCCAATATGAAAGACAGCCCGTCATCCCTACCGAAGAGCCCAGTCGCGACCCATCAAGGCACGACAGGAGGCACAACAGAGACGGGCGTGTGACCTTCAACCACCGAGCATCACGCTCGAGGGAATCTCAGCACGACCAGCGTGCCAGACATCACTACAGGACCCCTTCTCTTTCTCCAGAAAGGAGCGACGAGGACGACCCCCGCGGTCCCCTGTCGCAGGCCATCATGGACGCACCCATTCCCCCGGGCATGGAGAAGCCCCCACATCTGAAGGAGTATGATGGAGTGGCAGACCCAGTCGACCACATTGACGGGTTCGAGGCCATGCTCCACTATCACAATGTCGGGGGCCCCATCAAGTGCCGTCTCTTCCCCACAACTCTCAGGAAGGCGGCCATGGACTGGTACAAAGGACTCGCCCCAGGCTCCATCACCTCGTGGCGGAACTTGAAGAACCAGTTCATCAGTTCCTTCACAGCTTCTCGTCGCCACCCGAAGACCGAAGCAGCCCTCGAGGCCATCATCCAAAGACATGATGAGACCTTGAGGGAATTCATCAACCGCTTCAACCGAGAAGCAATACAGGTCCCCTGCGCGGACCATATGAAAAGATACTTGCTGGAGAGGGGCCTCCTCCCCGGCACAGAATTCAGAAAAGCTGTGGGTATTGAGCCACCTGCAACTTTTGATGCTCTCCTCGACAAAGCCCGAGCATACATGGACTACGAGGAGAGAGAAGCTGCCAACAGGGCACGAGACTCCAGAGCTCGCAATCATGGCAGCAGCTCGAGACAAGACCCTCCTCCCCGACGGACCGGAGAGAAGAGGAAGGAAGATCGACCCCGGGAGGTCCGGGAACAAAGGGGCCCCTCGGGCCGTTTCACCGAGTACACTCCGCTCACGGCTTCCCGCGAGCGTATTCTGGCGGAGTGTGCTAGTACAGATTTTAAAGACGGTGGCGTCAAGCGTCCCCGACCAGCTCCTGCCAAGCCAGGAGTAGACAAAAACAAGTACTGTCAGTACCATAGGAGTCATGGTCACTTGACAGAGGACTGCGTCCACCTGAAGGATGCCATTGAAACCCTC